AATTAACAGTTACCACAGTTTGTAATTTTCTAGACTGTGCTTGATGCTATTGTTATTACTTACTGTACTACTTTAGCCAAGGTGAGATAGTTGTTATGATCAGTTGTTCTTCCTTGTATGCCAATACAGAGATTGCCTGGGAGTCATAAACAATACCATAGTCTAGTACCAAAGAACTGGGTAATAGGCCAAATAGGCAGTAATTCTTTTATCCCTAATAAACTGAAGAGACAGAATCTTAGGACAGACTCAAAAGCCAGAAGCCAGCTACAACTAGAAGACATCTCTGAAGAGTAGTCATTTCTTAAAGAAGTCTCTCTACTAGTAATAAAGCTACCTACCATAAGCAATTTATAAGCATCAATGCAGAAAACAAATTAAAAAAATAGAAAATGAGAAAACATGGAAGCAAGATGCAGGCAGGTAAGGTTCAACATACACAAATCAATAAATGTAATACACTGTATTAACAGAGCCAAGGACAAAAACCATATGATCATCTCAATAGATGCAGAAAAAGCATTTGACAAAGTCCACCACCCATTCATAGAAGCCCTACAGAAAATTGGAATAGATGATCCTTATCTCAATCTGCTAAAAGCCACGTATGACAAACCAATAGCCAACATACTAAATGGTCAAAAACTGAAAAATTTCACTCTAAAATCAGGAACAAGACAAGGATGCCCATTATCACCAGTCCTGTTCAATATAGTTCAGGAAACATTAGCCAGAACAATTACACAAGAGAGAAATGAAAGGAATAAAGATAGGAAAAGAAGAAGTTAAATTATCATTATTTGTGGATGATGTAGAAGACCCCCAAAACTCCACCAAAGGGCTTCTAGATTTAATAGCCAAATTCAGCAACATAGCTGGATACAAAGTCAACACTAAAAATCAATAGTATTCTAGTATACAAATAAACTCACTGAGAGAAATTAGGGCAACCACACCTTTTACAATAGTATCAGAAAAAAATGAAATACTTAGGAATGAATTTAATGAAGGATGTAAAAGACTTTAAATTGAAAACTACAGTAATCTGAAAAAAGATCAAAGAAGATTCAGAACATGGTAAGATATCCCTTGTTCTTGGGTAGGAAGAACCAATATAGTTTAAATTGCCATACTTAAAAAATTATGATACCTTTCTAATGCAATGCCAATTAAAATACCAACAGCATACTTCATAGAATTAGAGAAAACAGTTCTAAAACTTGTTTGGAACCAGAAGAGACCTAGAATAGTAAGAGTAATTCTGGGCAACAAAAGCAGGGGAAGGAGCATCACAATCCCTGACTTGAAATTATACCGCAAAGCTACTGTGATAAAAACAGCATGGGACTGGCAAAAAACAAAAACAAAACAAAAAAAACCCCTGAGGATCAGTGGAACAGATTAGAAGATGCAGAAATAACTCCAAACACACTCAGCCTCCTCATCTTTGACAAAGGGGCCAAACACTTTCGCTGGAAAAAAGATAGCCTCTTTAATAAATGGTGCTGGAAAATCTGGCTTTCTACATGCTGAAGATCAAAACTAGACCTATATCTCTCACCATGAACAAAATTAAAATCAAAATGAATCAAAGACCTAAATATTAAAACAGAAACCCTACGTCTGTTGGACCATAGAATAGGTAGAACTCTGAAGATATAGGTGTAGGCAAAGGCTTTATGAAAAAACCCCAATCACACAAGAAATAATAGAATCAACAACTGGGATCTCATCTTATTAAAGAGCTTTTGCACAGCAGAAGAAACCACCAACAGAGTGAAGGGAAAACTCACAGAGTGGGAAAAATTTTGCCACCTGTTCATCAGACAAAGGGCTAACATCTAGAATATATAAAGAACTAAAAGAAAATCATACTCCCCAAATTTAAAGACCCATTCCAAAATGGGTATCTGAAATGAATAGCTACTTCTTAGATGAAGAAGTTCAAAATACAAATATATGAAAAAATGTTCAACATCAATGGTCATTCGAGAAATGCAAATTAAAACAACACTGAGGTTCCATTTCATCCCAGAAAGAATGGCTGCTATCAAGAAGTCAACCAATAACAAATGCTGGCAGGGCTGTGGGGAAAAAGGAACCCTACTCCACTGTTGGTGGGAGTGTAGACTGGTGCAACCACTGTGGAAATCAGTGTGGAGATTTCTCAGAAAACTTAAGACTAGGTGTTCCATTTGACCCAGCTACTCCTCTTATTGATAGCTTCCCAAAAGCATTAAAAGCGTTATATCACAGCAATATATGCACATCCATGTTTATAGCAGCACAGTTTGTAATAGCTAAATCTTGGAAACATCCCAAATGCCCATCAACTGATGAATGGATAAAGATGTGGTATTTTTATACAATGAAGTATCATTCTACTATAAAGAAGGATAAGCTTGAGACATTTCTAGGTAAATGGATTCACCTTGAGACCATACTCTTAAGTGAAATAAATTGGACATACATATTTAAATACTGCATTGTCTCTCTGGAGTGAGAAACTGAAAATGTAAATAAGGACCAAAATGTATAATAGATATTGGGAAATGGGAAGAAAAGATTCAAATGGGAATGGGAACTAGGGAGGGGGGAGGGGGAAAAGAAGGAGGGGAAAAGGAAAAGAAAGATTGGAAGGAAAAAATGGAAACAGATTTTGTAAATGAGGGGAAGAGGGGTTGAAGGGAGCGGGGGGGGCGGGGGTCGGGGGCGGAACGGAAAAAAGAAGAATCAAGATCTATCATGGACAGGTACAGATTCCCTATGATGAATGTGACCATTATGTATATCTAAAATGTACCAATAAAATTAATTTTAAAAAGTCCATGTTTGTGGATTGGAAAACTCTATCATACTAAAATGGCAATCTTCAGCAAATTAATCTGTCATTTAAATGTAATCTCTCTTGAAATGTCAGTAAGTTTTTTTTTTAGTATAAATTGACAAGGTGGTCTTAAGATTTAGACAAATTTTATACAAAGGACCCAGAATAGCTAAGCATATTGGAAAAGAGCAAAGTGGTTAAGTCACGTGGGGTGCACCCACATGATGGGGTGTAGCTCCTGCTGCAATATGAGAGATCAGGGCACAGGCCATGCGTGCTGTGATCCTGCCAAGACATGCCAACGGAGAGAGACCAGAGCACAGACCACAGGTGGCATGATCTGCACATGTGAAGAGTCCAGAGGGACAAATCTGCCAAGACAGAGCAGTTGAGTGGTTGTCTGGGCAGGAGGTTGAGGAGGGTAGGGGGCGAAGGGACATGACTGTGGGTACAAGGTTGGCTGGGGCTGAGGGTGGGAAGTGGAATGATTGCAGATGGGCATAAGGAGTCTATTTGGGACAGTGGTCTTGTTCTAAATTGGATCATGGTGATGGTTGCACAAACTCTGAATTACTAATCATCAAATTGTACACTTAAACTGCATGAATTTTATGGGATTGTAAATTATATCAGAAAATTTTTAAAAGAAACAAGTGAAAATCCCCTTCACTTTTGTGAATTCTTGCTCTGGCCAATGACTGTCTTCAGCCAGGAAAGTGGGGCTGGAGCTGGGAGGAGATGCACAGCCCTGCAGGAGTTAGACTTGGTGGTGGGAAAGTCACTGCACACTTGGGATAAGGGGCAGTGCTGTTGGGAAGCTGGTGGCTGGGTGGCTCCTCTGTTCCGGGCTGTTTTCCCGGAGGCATCAGTAAACAAACCTCTTCCCGGCACCACCCCCAGGCAAAAGGTAGGGAGAGATGGCAAACAAGAGGAGCCTGAGACTTAGAACATAGGTGGAAATTTTGTGTTATCCAGCACCTTCCTGGAGTAGGAAGGATGAAAGAGTTCTGGTTATTGCAAGAAATGAATTCTTGGGGGGAGCACAAGGACTTGTTACACGTGGGCACTGTGAGCGCACTTAGCCACCCTCACACTTACGGACCCACAGATACTCATGTGTGTTCATCTCGTGTTTGTACATATGTGCAAGCATGTTTATGTCATGTATATGGATTCTCACACTTCAGCACACCCCTAACCTCACACATGCCTGCTTGTGTGCACACCCACCTACTGCTGAGGTATCTCAGAGTCCCTCCATGTCCACCAGAGTGGAGGTTGCACCACCACAGACTGGGATTGCCAGTGCCGGGACAGCAGTGGATATTTGTAACAGTGCACTTGCTCATCATAGTGACACTTACACCCCCCTTCATGTTTATGCTGCTCACCCCTTCCCCAAAATACCTGTTAGCTGAACCCTGTTCTCTAGGCACCTCTGGGAGACTGTACTAGCAGTCTCAGTCCATTTAGGAGGTGGAAACTGCACAGTGGGCTAAATGGGAGGAAAGCAAAGAATTATTAGACATGACATGAGACGAAGCTGTGAGGACACCCTCCAGGCATTTCAGGGCATGGGACAGAGCTCAGGCCTCACGCAGCGGTAGCTCAGCCTCCTGCTTGTCAAGAGGTCCACCGAACTGGGCAGGCTGCTGCTGTCTGCAGCACTCCACTGGTGGAGTGGGTACTCAGGGTAGGGGCTGTGGCTGCAGGTGGGCCATGGAGAGGACTGCAGAGGGGGTCAGGGCAGCTGGGGAGGACCGGCTTCCCCGTGAAGTGGACCCCAGAAAGGTCATCACGTCAGGGGTGCAGGGGATGAGGTCAAGGATTCCCAGCTGAGGCAAAGTTCACCAGGCATCCTTGTGCCACGCCCTGACTGGCATCCTGCTCCCCCTCCCAGCCCCGCTGGAGGAGGCCCTGCCCCATGCACTCCCACTCCTGCATTGGCCCACTTCAAAGGAGAAAGGCTCACAGAGCTCAGTTTCCTATGACAGGGCGCATGTCGGTGTGCCCAGGGTGGTGTCTAAGTGGCAGCAGGAGAGGGGGTCCTGGGTCCTCTGTGTGAAGAGAGCTCTCTCCAGCTTGGGGCTCTTTCTGAAAAGTGAAAGCACTCACAGTTGATCCCCAAAGACTCTCTGGGCATATGGAATTTATAATTTTTCCCCTATCATAGGGCAAACCAAGACCCAGACCTGGAGACCTGATTGAGATTTTCCGAGTTGGCTATGAGCACTGGGCCATCTATGTGGAAGACGACTGTGTGGTCCATCTGGCTCCCCCAAGTAAGAGTGGATACGGAATTGAAATTAAGAAGACTTTTTTTTTTTTACAGTAAAAGATACTGCCATGAGTTTCCCTCAGAAGCCTCCCCCTTGCTTTAGACACACTTACCCCACTGTTCTTGCTACTTTCTGCAGTAACTCTGGAGTCCTCTTTCCTGAATGTTGGTAGTTGAGCTATTATGGCTGTCTCCATGTCCTGAATCAATTCAAAATGTATCCCTCTCTTGGTCATTTTTGCTGTAGGGAAGAGGCAGAAATTGCATGGTCCCAGAACAGGTGAATAAGGTAGATGAAGACAAGGTGTCACATTTTTATGAGCCTGCCTTTCCTTTGGATGGCACTTGCCAGCAACATTTACCATATATCTGATTGTATCTTATAAAGACATTCAGGCAAAAAGACCTCCAGAAAGGGGCAAGAACTATGGGATAAATGTGTTTGAAGTGAGGGGAAACATTCTGAGGGGGTTCATGGCAGTGTGTCTTTTACTGTAATAAAATTTTAAAATGCAATAATTTACCTTACTTTTTGATTATTCATTGCATTTCTTTTTCTTTTTTTTGGTACCGGGGATCGAACTCAGGACCTTGTGCTTTCAGTGCAGGCAGCAGCACCACTGAGCTAAACCCTGGCCCTTGCATTTCTGGAGATACCCTAGGGATGGGGGGAGTAGATACTTGTATGTCGCTTGTTTCCTGTTGTCCCCAAATGCTGCTCCTGGCTTCCTGGTCACCTCTGTCACCTGCAGTCCTGCCCTGTCTTCCTGCTGTCCTGCTGTGCCCCAGGCTGCTTCCCCTAAACTACACACATACTCATTTCACTTCTCAGGGCAGCATGAACACAAGGCTCAGACTGAACGCATGGTTGATTACTGTTTGGTGGGAATTTGATGGGAAGCAGATGGTGATAATAAGGGAAGATTACAAAGGAGTGTGGAATAGTTTTCCTAAAATTGGAAACCCAGATCCCTCTTGTCAGTAGTTGCCTCTGGGGACAGGACAGGGCGGGAGAGCTGCTGTGCTCTCTGTTACCTTCTGAATTTCGTGTCTCACTGAATGGAATTATAGAAGGACACAGCACCGAAGGCTTCTGGCATCAGCTTGTTTGCAGCTGTCATCCTGGATGCAGCTCCTGACCTTTGACCCAGCCTCTCCCCTTGCTGAATCTTTCTGTAGAGTCAGTTTCTCATCACCTGTTTTCTCAACCCCATCTACTTTTTGTCCTTATTTCTTGTCTAGGAACCTAATTGATAAATGTCAAAATTCATCCCCACTTCTCCTTTCCAGGCTAAGTCTAGGAGCTTTGCTCTTGTAAAACCAAAGATATCTTTAACTGTTATACCCCCACATCAGATGTTCCTCTAATAATGGATTCTGCCATCTCTGCTCCCAGGTGCTGACCTGCTGCAAATTTTTGTAAAGTCAGAAGATTTTCTTGAAAATATTCAGAACAAGGAACATTTCTTGGTCTTGGATAACTTATGCAGAGAAAGGCACACATGTCTGCATAGTAGAAAAACAATCTTTAAAAAAACTGATATAATAATGGTAGATATTTAGGGCTACGGTGTGATGTTCTCATACATATATACTGTATCAGTGAGTATCAGTGCGTATCAGTGTTGCTGGGACACAATGTCCAACATCCACAGCTTAAACAAGGAGAGGTTTAATTTGGCTCACAGTTACAGAGGAGTCAGTGCACGGTCAGCTGGCACGAAGGCAGGAACATTATTGTGGAAATATGTGGTGGAGCAAAGCTGTTTAGTTCATGGCAGCCAGGAAGCAGAGAAGAGAAGCATGCCCGAGAGGAAGGGATGAAGGACTGTACATAGCTAATTGATATCCTGCCTCTATGATCCATCCAGATATACCCAGGAACATACTTTAGTAATCTGCTCAGCATTCTTTTGCATTATTATTATTATTAGCTGAAGATCAAACCTACGGGCCACGGAGCTAAATCCCCAACCCTGCTAGGCATTTCTTAATCCAACAAAGTAGACAGATGAGGATTAATGGGTACATATTCAACATGTAATGATCACGTTGGAGTAAATAGCATACACATCTCAAATATTTATCATTTCTTTTTGATGATAGCATTCAAAATCCTCTTTTCTAGCTGGTTTTAAATGACCATCTACTTGGCCTTGGGCAGGTTCCTTTTCATCTCTGAGTCTCTATCTCTTCTAAGGATTAAATATGGTAATGTAGCAGGTTTCCAGTGTCTCTGCTTTTCAAAGCTATGGAGCCCTATTTTCAAAAAACCCTTAGTGAAAATCCTCATATTTGAGGAGAGATAAAGCCCAAGGGGCTCTGGGTGGATGCTGGTGGGAGTGGGCACCATTCAGAGGCCTGACTGTTGGGCTTCATCTGTGCCCACAAAGGGAAGCATGTCTTGGAACCACTGTGGTTGTGGACAGCCCCCTGTGTAGGGAGTGGAGATCAGGAAACAAGATAAGGTCTAGGACTTGGCTGGGTCAGTGCAGTCCAGTCCAACGCCACGCTGTAAGGCACCATGAGAGTTAGTAATTAGAGATTCCTGCCTGATGGAGAGTTGAGAGTACAGTGCTGGGTGAAGGCTACCTTGAAAAGGGTTACTTCCTCTCTTCCTCTTCTAGTCTTAGGCTAAGCTGGTGCTGTCCCCTGCCACCCCTAGCAATTTTCTGACTTTTGTTTGTCTCTGATCTCCAGGTGAGGACTTTGAGGTTGGCAGCATCACTTCTGTTTTTAGCAACCGTGCAGTTGTAAAATACAGTCGTCTGGAGGATGTGCTGCACGGCTGCTCTTGGACAGTCAACAACAAGCTGGATGGGACATACTTGCCCTTGCCTGTGGACAGGATCATCCATCGCACAAAGAAGATGATCAACAAGATCGTGCAGTACAACCTGATTGAGGGGAACTGCGAGCACTTTGTCAACAGCCTCAGATATGGTGTTCCCAGGAGCCAGCAGGTGTGGCCCCTGGCCTGGTTGTGGCTCCTCGTGGAGCTTTCTTGGGCTGTGCCAACTCCTCAGTCACCAGAACAGCCATTACTGGTCCTACTGTGTTTCCTGCTGTGCTTCTGTTCCTACAGACCTGGGTGGTTCAGGAGGCATCTACCCCTCCATTTCCCCTTGAAGGAGTAGGAAAAGCATTGGCCTAATAGGAAGTCTGCCTGGTTGGAGTCCCGGTTCAGTCATTATTGAGGGTCCCCTTGGCGAAGGTGCTGTTTCTGAGATTGTTTCTTCCTTTACAAAGTGGGGATAGATGGAGGTAGATACTTTGTCATAAAAGTTGCAAACTTGGAGCCCATGGGGCATCTCACATATACTATTGTTTTTTGAGTTTGAGTTACTTGGCAGCTATAAAAAACCAGAAATATTACAGAAGAAGATCTGGATTCCCAACTCCTCTTGAACGCTCAGGCTGTTGAGCCAGCATCCTGCACCTGGCCTCTCGGCTGTGTTGTGGGTCTGTGTGCTGTGGGACCGTGGACTGCTGTTGCTCCACTCACCCCTGCCCAGCCCATCTGTGCTGCCCTGGGCCCTCCTCCCCTGTGAAAGGCAGAGAGAAACTAAGAGACCTGAAAGCCTGCATATCTGCAACAGTTTGGGCTGCATTTGCTAATGGGTGATCCTTGTTAAAACTCAGTGCCTTGACAGAGGAAGTGTATATTGGAAATAGATGAAGAAAGCTGAGGATTAAAGGTGGACCATACTTTTTCTGTGGGTCTACCCCCCCGCCCCCCCTTTTTTCTTTTTTAGTACTGGGGATTGAACTTGGGTCTTTACACTTGCAAGGCAGGTGGCAGAACCACTGAGCTAAATCCCTGGCACTACCCCTTATTTTTCTTATGTTCTGTGAGCAGACTGGGCTCACACCCTTCCCCAGCCCCCCTGCCCCGCTGGTCTCCCCACTACTGTTGTGCACCTTTCAGTGGACATTGGCAGCCTCCACCCACTTCCTCTCCCCCTTTGATGTTTCTGCGTCTTCCTCCTCAGTGCTCTGCACTCTCTGCTTGCCTGAATCCCATCCTTGTGAGGCCTTGCACCACGGCCAGGGGCTTGGTAAGCACTGGTATTTCTCTGTGAATAGAAGACCCAAGGCTCAAGGGCACAATTGGGAAGAGCCCCGGGCCTAGGAGCCGCAAGGCACAACCCAGAGCTGAGCTTGGATACCAACTCACTGTGTGATTCTGTTCAAGTGAGTTCCCCTAGCTCGGAGTCCCTGTTGTAGAACGAGGGCCTTAGTGGCAGAGGTAGATCGTTTGTACAGACCCTTTGCCTCTGAGCCCACCTGAAGGCAGAGCCTGTGCGGATGGCTCTGAGGAAGGAAGAGGACCTTCCTGAGGTGGAAGATGGCTCCAGGGGAAAGGAAGCTAGCTGCCTTGGTAGTCTGTCTTCATCAATCCCGGCTTCTCTTGGCCTCCTGCAGCTCTAGAGTTTTGGAAAGAGGACAGCGCAGGCTGGCTCCTCCTCTAGAATTCCAGGCAGGCTGGCTTCTGGGGGAAATGGTGAGGTGGAGGTGGGGAAGGACAAGCTGGGATGAGCACTGACTACCTGCCAACTGATGTGCTTTGCAGGTGGAGCATGCCCTGGTGGAAGGAGTGAAGGCTGCAGGTGTGGTGGTCTCAGCGGTAGTAGACAGCATGAGGCCCAAACCGCTAACTGCCTGAAGGAGCTGAAAGCTCCCAGTGAGGAAGAGCTGCTGAAGAGAGCGTGCACTTCTTCTCCCCTTGCTCTCCTCTCTTAGTCGCTGTACTCACGAAAACTGAGCTTCTGGAAAAATGTGGAGTATAAAATTACTCTCTGGCAGTGAGACCCCAATATGTGAGACCCCCTGGACCCACAGGATGGGAAAAACTGATATCTGTTATATATCTGTTATGCTCCAGACATTGTGGTCACGGTTTCATACACTTAATTTTTCTCACTGTAGGCAGAAGCCTTGCTTTTTAGGCTCTCATCCGTTGGTTTTACAGCTCTGGGCTCTAGGCTCTGGGTGCCCATGGCCCTCCGTGTTATGGCTCTTAGTAGCTCCCAGCTACCCCATCAGTGCTTGGCAGCCAAGGCTCATTGCCCCCTTGGAAGCTTTCTGCAGTCTTTCTAGCAGGTCCCACTGCTTCTGTGGGACTCTATGCGGGTCTCCACTCTTCCCTGCCAAATGCCATGGGTCTTTGTGAGTTAAAATTGTCACCATTGTCAACACTTCTTGTCTCCACCACCTCTAGTGTTTGTTGGTGGTCATTAGCGCTGTTCAATGCGTGTTGATGCCAGTCACTGCTGGTTGATATTGCCCATTTTTGCTGGTCTTTATTGGTTGCTGCTGATCTCTGGAACCCCATGGGCCAGTAGGCTCTAGTTCTTATAATCCCTTTTAATGTGATCTGCTCTGGCCACACTACCCAAGATAAAAATGTTGGGTAGATTTACAAGGCCTTGCAGATGCTCTGAGAAATGAATCATGAGCAGGACCATGCAGCAGGCCTGTGCTGCAGTGTGGAGTCAGTGCACTAGAGGGAGCCCTCCTAAGCCAGCCCAAGGAGTGGGAGGGGTGCTGCTTAGATGTAGCGTCAGTGGGCCCTTGCTGTTCTGTACACTTTGTGGGTTGGGGCTTGGTCCAAGTTCAGTCCTGCCATGGTGTCATCTGGGCCTGGGGTAAAGTCAGGCCTCCTGCATCAAGGCAGACATCTGGAGCAGGTGCAGGGTGTCTAGGAGAACTGCAGCTGTCGTGGTGATAGTTCACTGGATCATCAGGAGAAGCAGCTTCTTTATTGACAGCTGGCATTTCATGAAAATAGCAAGGCTGAGATGGTGACTGGTTCTGCTTTTCAGGAATCTCCAGGAGGGTCTGCCATATTGCTCATGGTCCACTTGGCTTGGGGATTTCAGGGTTAACAACACTGGGTCCCAGGCCCCTCCTGGTCTTAATCTTGGCAAGGGCAGTTTCCTACCATTCGGGAACCAAAGTGGTCAGCTGAGCTGTGCCTGTCAGCTCTGCCTGGAGGGGACCCTGTGAAGTAATAGCAGGGGTGGTGGGAGACACTGCAGCCAGTTGTGCAGTCTCCTCTTAGGGGCCAAGAGGCGGCAAGGAGGAGGCATGTGACACCTGTTGGAGTGTACTCGCTTCAGCTCAGTGGAGGAGGAAGAGGGAAGAGCTGGGCACTTTCTTGTTTATCTCACTAAGACTGAGCTCTGGAAAGCACATTTCACATCTTGAAGATGAAGGTGTAAGGGATTCTTAAAGTGTTTTTAAGAGACCTGTAGCAGTTTCTTCGTTCTAGAGTAGACACTAAAATCTCTGCTTGGAGGAAATTCAACATGGCTGACTAGATGTTCAGAGGTGATTCACTGAGAACAAGACTTTCTGCAGTGGGGGAGGGGCTTACACCCTGAAACAGAAAATTAATAGGGAAGATGATACATGTAGATCAAACCAAACATCTGGATAGTTGAAAAGAGGATGCCGAGCTGCCGCGGCTGGTTCACAGTAACCCTATCCCTAGCTGCTATGGGGAGCAGCCATCCTGAGAGTCACAGATGGGCTGAGGGACCAAACCGGAGCCACAGAGGTCAGACTCCTGAAGCCAGCCCTTCCCCTGCACCCGTCCCCAACACTGGGGGAGCTGCTCCTGTGGGGAGCCCCGCACCCCAGACTCTGGCCAGAGAGAGGATGAACGAGGAACGGTTTCCCCCTCTGACAGGAGTCAGCTGGCTGGAGCACCCGGCCGCCTGCCCGCTCGCTCAGACTGCAGTAAGACAGGGAGGGGTTGTGAGGACATGCAGGCTTTATGGCACAGCGGTCACATTATCTTGCTAGAGTACTGGATCTGGTTCCCTGACACTTTGTTTTGCTTACTTTTTCCCCGCTTTGATTTAGTTGCTATTTTCTTTCTCTCCTCATCTCCCTATCCCTTCTTCAATTCTAGCTTCTGTAGCAAGACTATTTATTTTTATTTTTTTTACTCATTTCTTCCACTTTTTAAGTTCTTCCTTTCAGGTTTTCCCCTATATTCCCGTCTTCTCTCATACTAACCTTCTGTCCTGTCTTGTATTCTTTTACTGTTCCTTATATTACCTAGCTCCTCGCCTCCCTTCGCCTTTTTTCCCTCTTCCAGGTATGCCTGTATATCAACAGGTTCTGACAACCTCACAGCTTTCCTTAACCCTAAATTACACCTTCCTTCACCTACATCTCACCCCTGCCCCCACAAATATCTTCTTAAAACCCTCAACATTAAGCTTTTACCCCAACTATAAAAAACCTCTAACAAAACTGACCTCAATCTATTTTTTTAACCTAGTATAATTTCTCCCATCTCTCTACCCCTAACTTACGCTCTTCTTTCACTCATTCCTCCATCTCCTCCCTTCCCTTCTTTTATATCCAGATGAACTGCTAATAATGCAATAGTATATGGTGTAAAGGGTACTGATAAAGGGTGCAACTGTAAATTCAAGGTTTAACTTGTATAACTGATATGTCATCAGTTCTGTTGATACTGTTGTAACTAGTAATTGTCTCATCGCAACACAGTGACACAGTCCAAGCCATTTAAATCAAATAGCAGAAGGGGTGAACAATATCTCTGGACAAATAAAATCATGAACATACCACTGGAAGGGAGACTCTAACTAAAAATATAATCTTTCCTCACTCTACTTGACCTCAACCCTCAGCCCAAAAATATATCTGTGTAGATAGAAACACACACACAAACGTGGGGAAAAAGGCAACACATCTAGGGGGCACTGATGGAGAGGAAAGTAAACCCCAGGTAGCAGTGCTTAATTAAAGAAGAGGTATAGAAACTTGGCAAGTTCAAAGAGGACATGACCCAAAAGTTCATGGAATTATCATACAGAATAACTAATGTGGATATGGAAGAAAAAAAATTGGAAAATCTCAACAAAATTTTTCAAAACCTGAATGACTAATTTACCAAAAATATAAACTCCCCAAAAATGCATCAGACAGAAATGCCAGATATAAAAAATTGTATAGAATTCATAAATTGCAGAAATGCCCAATGAGAAGGTTTCTGAAATTGAGGACAGAAAGGTAAGCTATGACAAATTAGATAAGCTTTAAAAACAATAATAGAACAAGAGAAATTTGTCCAACAGCTACTAGATGACACTGAGAAGACCAACTGTGTTAGTTAACGTTTCTCTTGTTGCTGAGAAAATATCTAACACCTGAAGTTAACGGGAGAGAGGTTTATTTAGCTTACAGTTCATAGAGGTTTCAGTCCATAGTTCCCTGGCTCTGAGGCAGGGTGGTGTGGCACTCAGGGCTTCCAGAGGAGAAACAGTTCATGGTGGCCAGAAGGTAGCAAAAACAACAAGAGACCTTAACAGTGTGTTTCTGTTCCTTTTATCGTATTCAGACTACCAGGATTAGAGCTGTGCCAAACCAATCACTCGTGTAGTGGTTTAGTAATTACATGCCCTTAATCCTAGCATCACATTCCAGATTTAGCTACCTTTGAAAAAGACTGCACGAGGCTTTGGGGGGACATCTAGACCCAAGCCACAACACCAACCTAAGGCTAATGAGAGAAACTGGAAGACAGCACACATGGAATAAAGAATTTGTTTACAAAAATCGTAATAGAAAACTTCCCAAGTATGAGGAAAGATTTTAAAATACATGTAAGCAAGGGTTACAGAACATCATCTACTGGTAACTACAATGAAAAAAGAAGCTCCTGAAAACATATCTTAGTCAAAATTCCAGATATCCAATAAAAATAATCTTGAAAGGTGTCAGAGAAAAACAAAAATATCATGTGTAAAGGTTAACCCATTAGAATCACAGCAGACTTCTCAACACAAACTTTATAAGCCAGGAGAGCCTGGAGTGAAGTATTGTAAGCCCTAAAAGCAAACAACTTCCAACCCAGAATAGCATCTGGCAAAACCTTCTTTCAAAATAGACGGAGAAGGGCCGGGGATTTAGTTCAGTGGTTCTGCTGCCTGCGGTGCAAGTGCAAGGACCCAAGTTCGATCCCCAGTACAAAAAAAAAAAAAAGAACCTGGGAGATATATCACCACCAAACCAACACTCCAGAATATACTCAGGAATAGCTGTATAGAGATGACAAAACCAACAAAGGCCAAAATCCAGATGGAAATCAAGTGAGGCAAATAGATAACAAAAAAAGTAAAGCAAAGGAATCATCAACAGAAAATGTAATGCTAGGAATAAATCAACACCTTTCACAAATTCTCATACATACACATTAACTATCAGACTAATTGGCCAAAAAACATATAAAACACATAAGACAGTTTATACTGTCAAGGTACTCTTTGAGATACATTGTCCCTGCTGCATTACAGTAACTTTTTTGGGGTCTATTTTTCCTATTAACTGTCTTTTATTTTATATTTTATGAATATATTGAATTTCTCATATATGTGAAACCATGTGATATTTAAGCTTGTGTATCTAAATTACTTCACTTAACATTATGCTCTAAAGGTGCATCCATCAAATGAAATTTCTCATTTTAGTTCTTTGAGAAATCTCCATACTGATTTTCATAATACTTGTAC